ACCTTACTTCAGAGCCCCCCCCCCCTTACATCATTTCCCCCCTTAATGTCAGAGTCCTTCCTTACATCAGTGTGCCCTCTTACTTCAGAGTCCTCTCTTACATCAGATCCCCCTGACATCAGTTTGCCCCTTTATATCAACATTCCCTCTTGCATCAATTTCCTCTTACATCTGTGTCTCCTTCCTACAATAGTGCCTTCCTTGCATCAGAGTCCCTCCTTACATCAGTGTCTCCTCTTTTTTTTCAGAGCCCCACCTTTTACATCAATTCCCCCTTTATATCAGTGTTACCCCTTACAATAATGTTTTCTTGCATTAGAGCTTCCTCGTTACATCGGTGTCCCCTTATATCAATGTGCCCCCCTTTACATCAGAGCACCCCCCCTTACATCAGTTTGCCTCCTCCCACATCAGTGTGCCCTTCTTCCCCTTACCTTAGTGTATTCCCTTTATATCAATGTACCCCCCTCCCTTACATTCGTGTGCCCCTCCTTCCCATCAATGTGCCTCATTACCATAACCAGCATGGTTGTAACAGCACAGGGGGAGCCCTCTCTTAGGCTGTGCAGTAGTAGTAACACAGAACAGATCTTTCAGCTGCAGTCGCTCTTGTCACTGTCGGCTGCTGCAGCTCAAAGTTTGGTCCTGTGTGGGGGGGCGTGTGTGGACTTGTACTTGCAGACTGCTGTCTCCTAGGTACATTCGTCCACCCGTCCTGCTTGCACAGGATCTTGTAACCCCTCTGACATTCTGGGATCCACGGAGACAGGCCACTGATGCTGCCATCCTGTAGAGCGAACATAGGTGGAGGGAAATGAGGGTCACACACATGTCCTCCCAGGGACAGCATAGCCAGACAGGTATCTGAGTTGCACATCCCTTGCATGCTTCAGGCTCCCACACCCCTCTGCCTCTCCAGAGCTCCTAAGGACAGATCACTGGTGCTGTATACCGGCACCAGGAGATGGAAGGGGAGGGGGCGCACACATATTCTCCTTCATACTGTGCACCGGCCCCACTCCCCCGCCGTTCCGCTTCCTCTCTGAGCACCTGCAGACATACAGGCCTCCTGCACCTTATCCTGGCTCTACAGTAGTGATGTTGCTCTCACTGTCAGCCATGGCGCCCCTCTCAGTGTAGTGCCCAGGGCACATGCCCCCCATAGTTTTGGATCTGACTACACAGAATAATGTGGCATCTTCCAGTCTTGCCCTGTGTTTTCCAATACTCTTTGCAGAAAGCAGCATTTAGTAAAGAAAGAAACAAGCGGCTGATAAAATGGTAGGAGACGGTGGATTTGGGTAGGACTAGAGCAGCCCTATCACACACCAGCTTCCTGACAAAGACTGAAAGTAGCATCTATAGTGATCTCCCTGGGAGGTAATGATTGCATCACTTCCCTCAAATGGTAGCACCATCCTCATCACCTTTCATTGATAATGAAGAGTAGTAATAGAACGGACTCTGCAAGAGGGCATATGAAGAACATAAAATATAGACAAAGTGAATGGTTACACAGCTTTGCAAGTATGCATACGCTACTTATACCCTGCAACTTTAGAGTATTTGCAAAAGATACATTTTAGTTTTGTTTCAAATATTTATTCAATCTACAATAATTTGTACATAAATTCACCATTTGGCAGTTGCTTGAATACTACAGTTGCAAGAAAAAGTATGTGAAAAACCCTTGGGATTACGTGGAGTTTTGCATGAATTGGGCATAAAATGTGCTCTGAACGTCATCTAAGTAACAACAATAGAAGAACACAGTCTGCTGAACATAATACTACACAAACATTAGATGTTGCCATGGTTTAATTGCACATAACATGTAAACAATCACAGTGCAGGGAGGAAAAAGTATGTGAGGCCCTAGCTTAATGACTTCTCCCAGAGCTAATTGGAGCCAGGAGTGAGCCAACCTTGACTCCAATCAGTGTGATGATATTGGATGTGTTGCTGACAGCTGTCCTGCCCTTAAAAAACACACACCTGTTTTGGGTTTACTGGTTTCAAGAAGCACTGTCTGATGTGAACCATGCCTCGCAGAAAAGAGCTCTCAGAAGACCTACGATCGAGAATTGTTGACTTGCATGAAGCTGGAAAGGGTTACCAAAAGTATCTCCAAAAGCCTTGATGTTCATGTGTCCACGGTAAGACAGACTGTCTACAAATGGAGAAAGTTTAGCACTGTTGCTACTCTCTCTAGGCGCGGTCGTCCTGTAAAAATGACTGCAAGAGCACAGCGCAGAATGCTGCATGAGGTAAAGAAGAATCCCAGAGTGTCAGCTAAAGACCTACAGAAATCTCTGGCACATACTAACATTTTTGTTGACACATCTACAATAAGAAAACATTAAACCAGAATGGAGTACATGGGAGGACACCACGGAGGAAGCCATTGCTGTCCAAAAAGAATATTGCAGCACGTTTGAAGTTTGCAAAAGAGCACCTGGATGTTCCACAGCACTACTGGCAGAATATACTGTGGACAGATGAAACCAGGATTGAGTTGTTTGCGAAGAACACACAACACTATGTGTGGAGAAAAAAAGGCACAGCACACCAACATCAAAACCTCATCCCCACTGTGAAACATGGCGGAGGAAGCATCATGGTTTGGGGCTGCTTTGCTGCCTCAGGGCCTGGATGGATTGTTGTCATTGATGGGAAAATGAATTCCAGAGTTTATCAAGTCATTTTGCAGGAAAACGTACGACCATCTGTCCTCCAACTGCAGCTCCGCAGAGGATGGGTGATGCAACGGACAATGACCCAAAGCATACAAGTAATTCAACAAAACAATGGCTGCAACAGCACAGAATACGCCTTCTGGAGTGGCCCAGTCAGAGTCCTGACCTCAACCCAATTGAAATGCTGTGGCATGACCTTAAGGGAGCGATTCACACCAGACATCCCAAGAATATTGCTACACTGAAACAGTTTTGTGAAGAGGAGTGGTCCAAAATTACTCCAGATCGTTGTGCAGGTCTGATCTGCAACTACAGGAAACGTTTGGTTGAGGTTATTGCTGCCAAAGGAGGGTCAACCAGTTATTAAGTCCAAAGGTTCACATACTTTTTCCTCCCTGCACTATGAATGTTTACATGTTATGTGCAATTAAACCATGGCAACATCTAATGTTTGTGTAGTATTATGTTCAGCAGACTGTGTTCTTCTATTGTTGTGACTTAGATGATGTTCAGAGCACATTTTTATGCCCAATTCATGCAAAACTCCATGTAATCCCAAGGGGTTCACATACTTTTTTCTTGCAACTGTATATGTATAATAATGGGAATAGGATATTTTTAGGACTAGAAATGAGCGAATAATGTAATATGATTTGTGCTGCCAGTTTGCTCATCATCCATATTTGCAATTTGGTCCGATTTTGTTTTTTAATAAACAATGAAGAAAAAAAAAAAAATGGTCACTCTTTCCTCGGAGACATCAGTCTGACTTGCAAGGCGGTTGACACTGGTTTTTAGCCCAGTAAATATGAAACTGTACATATTAATAGTAAATATAGAGTAAAAACACAGTGAGCTCTCCCAATGAAGCAGCTATTGCACTAGGGCAGTGGTGGGCAACCTTTTTTTTCAACTGAGCCAAATCTCGCCAAAACCACGATTGAAATTTATTTTGAGAGCCACATTTTTAAAACTGAAAATACATCCCCCATATAGTAATTCATCCCCCATAGTAATTCATCCCCCATATAGTAATTCATCCCCCATAGTAATTCATCCCCCATATAGTAATTCATCCCCCATAGTAATTCATCCCCCATATAGTAATTCATCCCCCATAGTAATTCATCCCCCATATAGTAATTCATCCCCCATATAGTAATTCATCCCCCATAGTAATTCATCCCCCATATAGTAATTCATCCCCCCATATTGTGTCAATTCACTTACCTTTGCTCCGCGCGTTCCTCTCGCCGTGTTCCCGCAGCGATATTTAAGTGCTTGTGCTTTGAAGGTATAGTAAGAAAGCGCACTCACCAGATATGCATAGAATGTGCACATATAAATATATCCAACATGGTCCACTTTAGGGAACGGGATATGCCAGGTGTGTGGTTAACTTCCTTCAGGGTGTTAAACAGCACAACAGAAGCTCTTGGGTTGGGTAGGTGGTCAGCTCATCCAGAGGTCCCCTTTAAGGATGGATGGGTCTGCAGCCTGTATTACAGGGACTCCCTCCTCTGGGTACTTGAATGGGCCAGACTCAGAAGTTGGCTCTGTGAATCAGTAGCTCCATATATAGGAGCCAAACAAAAAGTGCCCATAGTGTAGTATTTTAAAACTGTAATAAGTTATTCTATGGAAAATGAGTTTTAAAAACATGTAAATGTGACAGTATTGCAGAGTTTAAGCAACACTGACCAAAATCAAAGATGGCCACCGGACCTTCACGAGGCTCCGGTGCCGTGACGTCATGCCGTGTTGGCTCCTCCTAAAGTTTTCGTGCCACGTAATAAATGCTCATTTTTTTTTACAGGAGCCTGCAAAGCATTGCATCCGTGATCATTGAATGATGGGTGCAATATCGGTCTCCTGCAGATAGCTTTTTCTTCGTACGTCTGTATGGGCTTTCAATTAGAAAGCTGGAAGAAGTGTCACTGCATTGAGTGGACTTTTGGATGGATTTTTGTATTTTTTTTCAGCCAGACTAACTATGTAACTATGAGTGTGCTGATTACTGCACTCACAGTCCAGTAAAAATTGCAAGACCATGGTGGCGGACAAGACTTGTAGTTTATTCATTCATGTTTTTATTCTTTCTTGTTTTTAAATGTGACAGTGGCTGTGAAGGAGAGGAAAGCCCATACACTGTCATGGTGGGTTTCTGGAGGTGGGAAGTGGGTGCATAGGGACATGTTGCATGTTACTCCCAAAATACATGTAACGTTACCGGGGTGGACTGACCATTTGGAAACCCGGGCACTGCCCGGGGTCAGTAGGGGACCCATGAGATGCCCCTGGTACCTTTTTCATAGGCTTTTTTGAGTTTGGGCAAGGACACAGGAGCCCCATGATCCCCTATTGCCCGGGGGCCCCATGACTTGTCAGTCCGCCCCTGAATGTTACTAAGGCTGGCCATACATTATACAAATTTCTTGTGTAATTTTCCTTTACATTTACCAAAACCATATTATATGAGATCAAACTGAAACACTTTCAGTATGTATGCAATCAAGCAGGCCCTTGCACTACATAGTTGAAGGTAAAGCTAAAGGAAATTGAACAATAAAATTGTATAATGTATGGCCAGCTTACAGGTGAAGTTAGCCTTTTAGAGTGTTCTAAAGGCTGAAGATTTTTTACCTCCTAACATTCTATGCATGGAGGTAAAAAAAACCTTCAATGTGCAGCAACCCCCTATTCCCCCCCCCCCCCCCAAATACTTTCCTGAGTCCGATCTTGTTCTAGCAATGTGCACCGGGAGCCTCACCTCTCTCGGGTCTCTCCCTCCCCATTGGCTGAGATCAGTCACAGCCAGTGAGGAGGGAGCTGGGGGCAGGGCCAAGCCATGCTCTGCTGTGTCTTATGGAAGCAGAAAGTGGGGCTCGGGAGCGAGCATGTACCAGTGCCCCCCATAGCAAGCGGCTTTTTATGGGGGAACTGCACAGGGGGGAAGGTCCAGTGGGGGACCAGAGAAGAGGAGGATCAGGGCTGCTCTGTGCAAAAGCATTGCACAGAGCAGGTAAGTATAGCATGGTTGTTATTTTTTTTTTAAATGAGCCTTTTAATACAACTTTAAGTTGACATTTTATACACAAAAGTTAATTATCAGCTGGTTCAGTCTGAGGTTTCACTGACAGCCAGTCCACTTAAAAAGAGATGGTTACTGCTGTGCTCTCCTTTCAGTTAATACAAAGCTCTCCTTGTCATATGTTAGTGGTTTTTTTTTTTTTGTTTTGTAAAACAAAGATTGTATGCAAAAAAATGTGATGCAATTTACAAACATAATCAAGTAAAATTTGTTTTAAAAAATTCTAGTTCCTCTATAATGGTGTTGACCAGTGACTCAAAGCCAGGCTGTCACCATAGGGAGGATAATGTCTGTTTATAGTAAGTTAAAAAATGAAATTCAAGCAGCCTGAAAATCCTATATAAAAACTAATAACCTGGTGATATGTAAAGTTTAAAAGAAAAGTCCTTATAGCACTGTCCTTTGGCTTTGCTTTATTAAAGCAAATTGACTCCCTACTTTCCTCTTGCTGGCTTTCCAATATTGGTGAAGTAATGGAGGCAGGCCCATGTATACTGAATCCAGTACTATCATGCAACTCCTTTTCTCCCTTATATTCCTGTTCAAATGTACCCAACAAAAGGAAAATTTTGTAAATGCACTCCACTCCTATGTCTATGCAGACCTCTCAGGAGCAGCTATTTCTGGGTGGAGAGTGAGCACATCAACCCTCTGACAGTATGTACAGTAATTTCTGGCTTCTCTGAAATGACGAGACCGGGCCCCATGCATTGGCATCTTAAGACTTCCTTGCATTCTTACTAGGAGTGGCAGATTTTTGAGGGAAAAGCCATATTACATACATATGGAAAGGGTACCTACCATTGTGGTGAACACAGCTCTGCTTTAATACAGGTACATTTAATAAAGAAGCTCAGTTACCCTCTTGCTTTTCATTAAAGTGGAACATTACCCATAACCTGATAAAAAAATTATGTTCTTTAGCAAGGAACATACCTTGCACATTAAGGCTCCATGCACACTTGTGTGTTTTTTGTTTTTAAAGCTGAAACGCTGGGTAAAAAAAACTTGGTAAAAAGGTTTGTAGTAGTTTAGGAGCGTTAGCGTTTAGCATTTTAACAGTACATGTAGAAAACAATAGATAGAATAAAGCTGGTAGGAGCGTTTTAGGATCTTTTAGCTGTTTTTTTTTTTTTTCTGCTGGAAAAACGCTCCAAAAAACTCTACAAAAAAACATTTTTTTTCTGCTGCTAGATGCTGAAGTTCAAAAAACACTAATGGCCTAAAGTAGTGTGCATGGACACATAGGATAACACTAGCTTCTAGGAACAGAAAAAAGCTAACAGCTTCCAGGAGCTTAAAAAACCGCTAGTGTGCATGGAGCCTAATAATTATACTACCAATATTAGTGTGTGCTGGAAATTGCCTCCAGCATTGTTCCTGCTTTTTCTTGCTGGAGTCTGTCATTTTGCTAAACCCCAGAGTCCTGAGTAGCATTAAATCTTTAGGCTGTCAGTAGATCAACCTCTACAAATCTGGCACGGTGCCTAAAAATAAAGTGCAACTGAGCATGTGCAGAACAGAGTGAGACAGTGTATTACTGGATTTTAAACAGTATAGGCACTTATTTTTAATGTTTTACATAACAATACCTGCAAAAGGAGCCAGCATGAAGCGATTTAGCAGGACTTAATATTCTGGCTAAAGTTCCAATTTAACACCATATTTGAAATTACACTGCTTTATGGAAGGTGGCTTTGTTGGACCTGCCATGTCATAGTCCAGCGATGTAAGACATATGAATCCTGCCTTGACTCATTACTGTTGAGTTTTCAGTTCAGCTTGGGGTTTGAAAGAAGTCAACAGCCAAAAGAGATGAGCATCTAGGATATCAGTGGAGTAATTCCCAACCACAATATTTTTAAGGCACATTTGCTGCCAGGCTCCTGGGATTTGTCCAGCTCTGGGTTAGGTAAATTATGTCATTTTGCTTGACTAAAGAATTAGTCTTTGGTCGCCTTAAGTGGCTCATTGTCTCAGAGCTAGAAGCAATCTAATGGACTGCAGAAGTCTCTAGCTCAGTGGTTCTTAACCTGGGTTCGATCGAACCCCAGGGGTTCGGTGAGTCAGTCTCGCGGGGTTCGGCGGAGGTGAAGACCCACACCCGACTCATATGATTCGTGATGACATGCCCCACTTGTCCATGATTGGCTGCAGGTGGTCACGCAACATCGCTTAGCCCAGTGGTCGGCAAGCCGCGGCTCGCGAGCCACATGCGGCTCTTTACACGCTTTAATTGCGGCTCTTGTGTGCCGGGCGCCCGCTCCCCTCCCTCCTCTCGGGCGGCAGGGACTCTGCAGCGTGATCCAAAAAAAAAAACAGCCAGGGCAGCGCGCTAAAATGCAATGATTGGCCAGTCTCGCTGCCACTCACATCCTGATGGCCAGTGATTGGCTGTCAGGATGTGTGTAGGCGGGGCAGCGTGACGAACGTGAGAGGAGCTAGGCTCCTCTCACAGTCCGCCCTGAAGACCGGAACGGCGCGGGAATACGGCGAGAGGAACGCGCGGAGCAAAGGTAAGTGAATTGACACAGGGGGGACTTGGCTTACTACTTGCTACTTACTTACTACTACTACTATATATATGGGGGATGAATTAATATGGGGGATGAATTACTATAGGGGGGATGAAATTACTATATGGGGGGATGAATTACTATATGGGGGATGTATTACTATGGGGGATGAATTACTATTGGGGATGAATTACTATGGGGGATGAATTACTATGGGGGATGAATTACTATATGGGGATGATGGGGGGAATTACTATATGGGGGATGAATTACTATATGGGGGATGAATTACTATGGGGGATGAATTACTATATGGGGGATGAATTACTATGGGGGATGAATTACTATATGGGGGATGTATTACTATGGGGGATGAATTACTATATGGAATTACTAAATGGGGATGAATTACTATATGGGGGATGAATTACTATGAGGGATGAATTACTATGGGGGATGAATTACTATGGGGGATGAATTACTATGGGGGATGAATTACTATGGGGGATGAATTACTATATGGGGGGGGATGAATTACTATATGGGGGATGAATTACTATATGGGGGATGAATTACTATGGGGGATGAATTACTATATGGGGGATGAATTACTATATGGGGGATGAATTACTATAGGGGGGATGAATTACTATATGGGGGATGAATTACTATATGGGGGATGAATTACTATAAAACAGTGGTTCTTAACCTGGGTTCGATCGAACCCCAGGGGTTCAGTGAGTCAGTCTCGCGGGTTCGGCAGAGGTGAAGACCCACACCCGACTCATATGATTCGTGCAGTAAATATTCATTATTATGTTTTTTTTTTTTTGTGTGAAAATCATGTTTTAATGGTTTTGTTCTTTGTTCTTAATGGTTTTGTTCATTTTGTGCACCTATGTATAAATATATATAGTACCTATGTTTTGAATTTTAAAAATCATATTTTATTTTTCCAATTAAGAAGGGTTCGGTGAATGCGCATATGAAACTGGTGGGGTTCAGTACCTCCAACAAGGTTAAGAACCACTGCTCTAGCTGTATCAAATCAAATATTGCTTAATCAATACGTTTTGGTGGGGCACAGTCCACTGAACCGTCAGACCTGAATAAACAGTCTATGTTTTGCTTGTCTTCGATTCAAGATATGTGAGTGCCCAATTACCCAGGTTTTTTATTATATATATATATATATATATATATATATATATATATATATTTATTACAGTGGGGATCGAAAGTTGAATTGGACCCCAGCTTTTGCCTTTTTTTGCAGCCAGACTAACTATGTAACTATATAGAGAAAAGATCTAAAAGAGATTTGATTTATTATTAAATACTCTTTTTTACAAGTTGATTTGATTATATTTAATCAAAGACTTAGAAGCTAAAAAAATCTGCAAAAGTTTGGGCACCCTGCTTGTTTTAATATCTTGTACTGCTAACCCCTTTGGCAAGTATCACATGTGTGATCTTTAACTATATAAAAAAATCTTGGTAAACGCTTTTTTTTGTAGCCAGCCAAGATGTCAATCAATTTTTGTGATGAACTGGAGGTATCTTTGCCCAAATTTCTTAAATAAACATTTTATCTTCTTTGTAAATCTAATGTACACTGTCCCACTTGCTTGTAACTATCCTCGATTTTCACACTATAAGAAAAGGTAAGAAAATTTTTGCCATGGCAAAACCCGATCGTCTCTTAATCGGATCGTCAGTATTTCAGGTGTTTCGAGGAGCCGATCACAACATTCGTACGTACAAGCCATCC